CTCCTCCTCCTCCTCCTCCTCCTCCTCCTCAAGTCCACCCATCTTAAAATATGCTGGCTGGGGGATTCTGGGAGTTAAGAATTCTTTAAGAAATGATGATCCCAATTTGGTGTCTTCCCTGCCTGCCTGTTTTCTTGGTCTTTCCCGGGAAATAATAATAATAATAATAATAATAATAATAATAATAATAATAATAATAATAATAATAATAATAATAATAATAATAATAATAATAATAATAATAATATAACAACAACCCTAAGGTCCAACAGACTTTCCTCCTCCTATGTTCCCCATGTGAGGTGGGCAGGGCGAGAGAGAGGATTGGCTGAAGGTCACCTGCTGGCTTTCATGGCTAAGGCAGCACTAGAACTCACTGTCTCCTGGTGATTGGCCCAAAGTCACCCAGCCGGCTTTCGTGGCTAAGGCAAAACTAGAAGTCACCATCAGCTAACGATTGGCTCAAAGTCACCCAGATGGCTTTGGTGGCTAAGGCAGAACTGGAACTCACATCTCCTGATTCTAGCCTGGTGCCTTAACCCCTAGGCCAAGCTGCCTATCCTCAACCTTTTGTGCCTTCCTTTCTCCCCACAGCGCTTTGCGTCCATCCCACGCTACGTGGAAACCTTGGTGGTGGCCGACGAAGAAATGATGCGCTTTCACGGCGCCGGGCTGAAGCCGTACCTGCTCACCATCATGGCAGCCGCTGCCAAGTTCTTCCGCCACCCGAGCGTCCGGAATCCCGTCAACTTGGTGGTGACCAGGCTGGTGGTGATCGGAGAAGCCGAGGACGGGCTGAGGGTCACCTCCAACGCGGCCGAGACCCTGCGCAATTTTTGCAGCTGGCAGAAAGGGCTGAACAAGCCCAGCGATAAAGACCCCGAGCATTTCGACACGGCCATTCTCTTCACCAGACAGGTGAGAAGCGACACCTGTCCCATCTCGCAGGCATCTGAGTTGGCTAAAAGCAGGTTGGCGGAAACCTGGAAGGGGGAATTTAAAGAGCATCTTGTAGGCGCTTTCACAAAATGGGGAACGGGAATGGCCAGGTGGAAAAGATCGATTTCTTAGAAGGAAATTGGAAGAAAAGCTCCCTTAAGTTCTTTCTAGGATGGTGTTTCTTCACCCTGGCGACTTTTCAGACAGGTGGACTTCAACTCCCAGCATGCCTCTGGTGAATTCTGGGAGCTGAAGTCCACACAACGTAAAGTAAGCTGGCTGGGGAATTCTGGGAGTTGAACCCCTCTTCAAAGAGGGGTTCAAGAGGGGAGTTGAACCCCTCTTCAAATTTCCGAGGCTGAGAAACACCGCTCTAGGATATTCTTGACCAACTTTGATTGCTTTAATAAAAAAAGGCACTTCCAAAACTCTGGATTGCAGCAATTTGCCAATTTCAATTCCCTAGAATTCCTGCAATTCCAGATCCCAAAATTCAGCTTTGGAAACAGAAGTTATGCCCTGAGTTTTGAAAGAATGTCAGCCTCCCGCTGAATTCTTATTTTTCATGAAAAGCAGGTTTCTTTCGTCAGGGCTGACCAGAAACCGGATGGCACAAATGTTAGGAAGTTAGCCTCACCAACGGAGCGAGGGGAAAACAATTCTTACAATACACGTTTATCTCTTTGCTGGCAGGATCTCTGTGGACGCTCCAGCTGCGGCACCCTTGGCATGGCAGATGTGGGCACAGTCTGTGATCCGACCCGCAGTTGTTCCATTGTCGAGGACGATGGGCTCCAGTCAGCCTTCACTGCGGCCCACGAATTGGGTAAGTGGGTCTGAATAATCTGAATCAACTAAGCAGCTTAAATCAAACGGAAGGAAACAAACAAACAAAAAAGGACTGAGTTTCCATATCCTTACCCTCAAATTGGTTGTCCCAGTCAACCAATGGAAAGTAGGGAAGATCACCCTGGTTGTGATCACCCAGGCGGAGAGATCTGGAGGGCGCAAAACTAAAACCATCCTTCTCGACTCGCAGGCCACGTCTTCAACATGCTGCACGACGACGACAAACACTGCAAGGAGCTGAACCGTCACAGCAGCACCCGCCACATGATGGCCTCCGTCATGTCTCCCGTCAATCCCGACGAGATGTGGTCCCCGTGTAGCAGCCGCTTCATCACTGATTTCTTGGACAACGGACACGGTACGATTCCGACTCTCTTTCTTCTCGTTGTCCACCTCGCGCTCATTCCTGGCCGATAGTCCTCCTTAACCTGCCTTTTCCTTTAGAGGAGATTTTTTAAAAAAATAAAAGACAGGAATCCCTCCACTTACGACCCGCAATTTCCACTGCTAAGCGAGGCGCTCGTTCGGCGAGCCTTGCCCCGTTGCAGTTGTTAGTCACACAGCAGTTCAGCGAATCTGCCTCCCTTACTAGCCGGGCTTGTCAGAAGGTCGCTAAAGGGGATCACGTGACACCCACCCCAGGGGACGCCGCAACCGTCACAAGTACATGCCAGTTGCCGAGTGTCTGAATTTTGATCCCGTGGCTGTAGGGAGGCTGCAACGGTCGTAAGTGTGAAAAATGGTCCTTTTTTCAGGGCCGGTCGCTAAACGAACGGTTGTAAGTGGAGAACTTTTTAAATAACGTGCACCGGAAAAAGAGCTTCAGTTTGAAAAATGGAATTTTTTCATGCCCAGGAAATCTGGCCAAGCTTTATAAACATTCCTTTTTTTTTGCTTCTCTTTTCAGGATCCTGCCTTTTAGACAAGCCCCACGAACCGCTGAAGCTGCCGGCCGTCTTCCCCGGCAGCAATTACAACGTGGACCAGCAATGCCAGCTCAGCTTCGGCACCGAATCCCGCCACTGTCCCAACATACACTCGCCCTGCTCCTCGCTCTGGTGCACCGGCCAGATCAACGGGCAGTTCATGTGCCAGACCAAATATTTTCCCTGGGCAGACGGGACCCCCTGCGGGGAAGGGAAGAGCTGCATGAGCGGGGAATGCATCAGCCACACGCAGCTGAAGGCCTACAATGTAAGTGTGTAAGATTGATTCTATTCTATTCTATTCTATTCCCTATTTTCTATTCTATTCTATTCTATTCTATTCTATTCTATTCTATTCTATTCTATTCTATTCTATTCTATTCTATTCTATTATTCTTCATTATTCTATTCTATTCTATTCTTCATTATTCTATTCTATTCTATTCTATTCTACTCTACTCTATTATTATTATTCTATTCTATATTCTATATTATAATTCCATATTTTCTCTATTCTATTCTATTATTTCTTATTCTATTCTATTATTATTCTATTCTATTATTCTATTCTATTATTCTATTCTATTCTATTCTTTGTAATTGTAAATTCTATTCTATTCTATTCTAAATACTAAATCGTAAATTCTATTCTATTCTATTCTATTCTATTCTATTCTATTCTATTCTATTCTATTTTATTATTTCGTATTCTATTCTATTTCTATTCTATTCTATTCTATTCTTTATAATCGTAAATTCTATTCTATTCTATTCTATTCTATTCCATATTTTCTCTATTCTATTCTACTATTTCTTATTCTACTGTTATTATTCTATTCTATTATTCTATTCTATTCTATTATTCTATTCTATTCTATTATTCTATTCTATTCTTTATAATTGTAAATTCTATTCTAAATACAAAATCATAAATTCTATTCTATTCTATTCTATTCTATTCTATTCTATTCTATTCTATTCTATTCTACTCTATTCTAAATTTCTTTGCAACTGTAACGTTCACGTAACAACGATAGCAAAACGGTCGGAGAACTCAATAATTGCAAAAAGATTGTGGAAATCAGCTCAGTCACATCCTCAGCCCATTTTATGACCGCCCCAACTTAACCACTGTAATGGGCAGGCTCCTTTACGGTCGTTAACTCAAGGGCTACCTGTATCGCCACTCTTGTATATTAGGCACCGTTATGTTCACTCACTTCCCTTCTTTATCCTTGCAGATTCCGACCCACGGAGGTTGGGGCTCCTGGGGGCCATGGGGCGACTGTTCCCGCAGTTGCGGCGGTGGGGTCCAGTACTCGACCCGGGAATGCAACAAGCCAGTTCCCCGGAATGGGGGCAAATACTGCGAGGGGAAACGAACTCAGTTTCGTTCTTGCAACATACGGGAGTGCCCAGACGGAAACGGTAAGCTCAGATATATATATATATATATTTGCCATTTTCCTATTTTTATTTGCAGCCGAGGCGCTTTGTTTATTTCCCCTAAAAAAAACAGATCTCCGAGGGGATCTGTGATCCACCTTCACCTTTTTTTGATGGACACAACAGCTCATCAAAAAATGTGAACAATGGGAGGATGCGAGCCAGGGAAAACAATCCAGAAGCGCAAAGGGTCAGCGGAAGGGAGGGTCCCGTTTGTTTCTGATTTATGACCAGCCATGAATGCGAGACCGGAGCCAAGATATGCTCTGGCAACATCTGGCAACAGATGTTTGCGCCAAGCCGGGAAGGAATTTCAGAGCGAGATTCCAGAACGAAACATGCTTGGCTCGCTAGAGTGAAAAAAACAGATTTCTATTCTAGAGTGGTTAGTAATCTTGAATTGCAGGGGGAGAGATCTAAAATAAAATATAGGCAGCCCTCAACTTACGACGGTTCATTTAGTGGCTGTTCGAAGTTACAACGGCACTGAAAAAAGGGGCTGTTTTTCACACGACCGTTCAGCATCCCCCATGGCTGTGTGATCCAAATTCAGATGCTCGGCAACTGACTCATATTTATGACAGTTGCAGTGTTCCCCTTTTACGACTTTCTGATAATCAAAGTTAGTAACCATGTTACTAAACATCTGCAGGGATTCAAGTGAAGGTGGTAAAATGGGACAAAATTCACTCAAGAAATGTCTCGTTTAGTAACAGAAATTTTGGGTTTAATCGACGTCGTAGGTTGAGGACTACCCATAAACGTAATCGTCGACTTACAAGGATAAGAAAGGTAGTCCTTGACTTATGATGGGGCATTTTTTTCCACCTGTTTTTCCCTTCTCAAAATTGATTCTAAGGTGGGATTTTTTTCTTTTAACTTTCGTCCAGCTCTGACCTTCCGTGAGCAACAGTGCGCCGTGTACAACCACCGAACGGACATGTTCAAAGATTATCCCGCGCCCATGGACTGGGTCCCTCGTTACAGCGGTGTGGCCAAGCGCGATCAATGCAAGCTGACCTGTCAATCCCATGCTTTGGGCTACTACTACGTGCTGGAGCCAAGGGTAAGTTGTAAGCCAGGAAACCGCGACTTTGGTCCTGACCGGAGACGAGCATTTGAGTGTCTTCCTTCAGACGTGCTTCGGTGGTCGCCAACTTATCAGCCGGCGGCCGCAATGTCTAGAAAGTGGCAGATCGAGGACTAAAACGGGATCCCTCCTTTGTTCTAGGTGGCTGATGGGACGCCCTGCTCGCCAGAATCTACCTCGGTCTGTGTCCAGGGACGCTGCATCCATGCCGGCTGTGACCGCGTCATCGGGTCAAAGAAAAAGTTTGACAAATGCATGGTGTGCGGTGGAGACAACTCGCAATGCACCAAAGTCTATCGCTCCTTCACCAAACCTCAGTAAGTGGCCTTTTGGCTTGAGATGTTGAAAAGATGGTTTAAAGAGAACATTGGAGAACCATTCGTCTGAAATGGGATAGGATTCCCTGCTTGAGCCGGGGGTTGGACTAGAAGACCTCCAAGGCCCCTTACGACTGTCATTCTGTTAAATGCTGAGCTTGCAACGGGCAACTTTCATCCTGCAGGGAGTCCCTGACTTACAGCCATTTAGTGACCGTTCCAACTGTGGTTAGCGGGATTGCTCTGAACTGCAAACCGACATACTAGTCATCCTTTCAATGTCTTAGTCTACATGTCATTGCTGGCTTACAATCACTCGTTTAGCGACCGTTCCCAGTTACAACAACGCTGAAAAATGTGACTTAGGAAGAGCCTCGCCTTTATCACTGTTGCAGCATCCCCACGGTCACGCGATCCAAATTTGGCCGCTCGACAACTGGGGTGTAATTTAGAAAGCTGCAGCATCCTGGGGTCGCGCGATTCCCATTTGCGACATTCCCAGCTGGCTTCCGACGAGCGAAATCAACGGGGGGAGCCAGATTCGCTTAGCAACCGCGAGATTCACTTAAGAACGGCGGTGCTTCATTTAACCGCCGTGGCAAAAAAAGTGGGTAAAAGTCCGTAAGATTTTGCCACCGTGGCAAAAAAAAAAAGCTCGTAGAATCAGGCGCCGTTCTCTTAACAACCGCCTGACTTAGCCCCATAAATTCCCATCCCAATTGTAGTCGTAAATCGAGGACTAGCATTTTGCAGCCACGCTGAAACACCAAAGCGGGTCCACGGTTCCCCCACTTTTGACCCGAGTAATTTATTCGAGCCCGTTTCTCCCCCCCCCCCGAGAGGATTAATCAAGTTTTAAAGCAACTGGCTGGAGCTTTGCAGCAGCCCGAGAAAAACCCAGGCAGAAACATCTGGATTTTCCAGATGTAAGACACTTGGATCTCCTGTGATTTCAAAGCTCTTTCTCTTTGGTTCTCGCCCAAAAATCTCCTACAAATTGCAAATTGTGAGTCACCCTCTCCTATCCTGCGAGGATTTTTTGGTGTGTGTTTTTTTTTGTGTGTCCAGCAAGTTAGCCTGCCCAGCTGCCAAGCTAACCACTCCTTCTGTATACTTATTTTTTTTATAAAACTCGATGCCACGTGTACAAGGAGCTTGAGCGATTGAAACTGTGGCAGGTCTTAGTGACTCTAGAATAACGGGGCACGTTGAAAGATAGATGGTTCCCCCCCCCCCCAAATAACGACTTCCAATATTCAAAAGGGAGCCAATGGGGGCTAAATGTCAACTTTTTTACAACATTTAATTTTGCAATTGTTGTTGGCTCTGGCTTTTGTGATACATGGCTGAAAGTCCTCAAGGATTGGGGTAGGTAGGCTGTAAGCGTGAGAAAATAAACAGATGGAACGTGGAAAGCTGAGGGTTTTATTTATTGATTTATTTCCAATTTCTGCCACCGCCCGTCCTGCTAAATTTAGTTTAGAGCCAGGAATGCCACTTTAGTGGCACGGTGAAGGAGCTGGCTTAGAAACCAGGAGACTGGGAGTTCTGGTCCTGCCTTAGACTTGAAAGCTGACTGTGTAGCTTTGGGGCAATCATGAGGAGATGGTGAGTTCTAGTACCGCCTTAGAAAAAAGAAAGCCAGTTGGGTGACTTTGGGCCAATCACCGGGAGATAGTGAGTTCTAGTTCCACTTTCAACATGAAAGGGTGACTTTGGGCCAATCACCAGGAGATGGTGAGTTCTAGTCCCGCCTTAGACAGCAAAGCCAATTTGAGTGACTCTGGACCAATCACCAGGAGAGGGTGAGTTCTAGTCCCGCCTTAGAGAGCAAAGCCAATTGGGTGACTCTGGGCCAATCACCAGGAGAAAGTGAGTTCTAGTCCCACCTCAGACAGCAAAGCCAATTGGGTGACTCTGGGCCAATCACCAGGAGAAAGTGAGTTCTAGTCCCACCTCAGACAGCAAAGCTAATTTGAGTGACTCTGGACCAATAACCAGGAGAGGGTGAGTTCTAGTCCCACCTCAGACAGCAAAGCCAATTGGGTGACTTTGGACCAATCACTAGGAGACTGTGAGTTCTAGTCCCAACTTAGGCATAAAAGGCAGCTGGGTGACTCTGGACCAATCACCAGGAGAAGGTGAATTCTAGTCCTGCGTTAAGCATGAAAGCCAAATGACAGACGTGGAGCCAGGCCCTCTTTCTCAGCCCAACCCACCCCGCAGGGTGGATATGACGGGGAAAACAGGAGGAGGAAGGCCTATTTAGCACGTTGAACCGTCTCGCGTGACTTATAAAGAAAACAAAACACCTAGGTGAACCTTGGTCCATATCACGGCCAGCCTTTCACCTTCCCGCATCTTGTCTCTTCAACCCACAGGTACGGCTACAACGACGTGGTCACCATCCCTGCCGGAGCCACCAGCATCCTGATCCGCCAGATCAGCAGCTCGGCGACGGCCAGCGACGGCATCTACCTGGCCCTCCGCCGGAGAGACGGCTCCTACGCCCTGAACGGCAACTACATCCTGATCCCCTCCGAGCAGGACGTTCACCTCCGCGGCGGCGTCACCTTGCGCTACAGCGGGGCCACCAAGCCGATGGAGATGATCACCGGCCCGGGACCCCTGAAGGAGCCGCTCACCTTGCAAGCATTGGTGGTGTCCGATCAGAAGACCCCCCGCCTTAAATACACCTTCTTCGTCCCCAAGCCCACCAAACGCCTCTCCAATCAGTGGCTGAAGCAGAAAGCCCGAATTTTGGAGGTGCTACAGAGTCGGCGAGGACGCAAATAGGATGCCTTGGCAGGAGGATGTGGGCAGAGGTCTCAGACGCTTCCCGTCCCCCCTCCCCACCTCGTGGGAAAGGGGGGAAAGAGGTTTGCCCCTGCCTGTATTTGCAAAGACGACCCCCTCCCTCCCGTTGCAGGGGACCCAGGGCCGAAAAACTCAAAATTGCTCAGCAAAGGCTGGAACTAAGGGAGGGGTCTTTCTGTTTCTCGGACAGTTGGTTTGGACGTTAAGCGAAGCGGGAGTCAGATCTGGGACCACGGAACGGGGAAAGGAAAGGCTACGAACCGGCCGGGAATTGCGGCGATGGGGCTAAATTTTTTAGCACTGATTTCTTAAGTTGAAATAATTCCCTCCGGAGAGATTCATGGGAAGAATGGACGAAAAAGACGGACGGGGAAAAAATCTTTTCAAAAGCAAAAAAAAAAGGGGGGGGGAGGGGAGGGGGAGAAAAGCCACTTTGGGATTTGGTGGAGCAAAAAATATCGAGAAGCCGAAGAAAACGGAGACCAGACTGGCAAAGTCAGATCCAAGCTCTGTCGTGGATCAATTCCGTGGACTTTTTGATGGTTCGTCTCCGGCCGTTCCTGTAGTATATTTATTATTTCATCTATTTATTTGTCCTTTTGGGGAAGCAGAGTGGAGATCTGGGGAAGGGGGAGAGGCGATCGGCCACGCACATTTTTGAGAATCAAGCAGGTTCCTTCGCTCTCGCACGACTTGCTCGGTGGTCCTCGACTTACGGGCGCAATTGAGACCAGCATCTCCGCGGGTCTAAGCAACGTCCGACGAGCGGCATCCTATTTTACGGTCTTTTGGGCCAGGGTGGATAAGCAGATCCCTGTGGTTCTTCAAGTGAATCAGGCGGTCGTTAAGCAAATCCCGCTTCCCTCACAGACTTTGCTCGTTAGAAGCCGGCTGATGGTGCTCACATGACCCCAGGATGCTGTGACCGTCGTAAATATATACCGGTTGCCAAAAGCACCCCAATTTTGATCGTGGAGATGCTGCGACATTCGTTATGAAGCGTGAGGACTGGTTATAAGTCACTTCTTTCACCGTGATGTTGTAACTTGGAATGGATCGTTGTAAGACGAGGACCACCTGTATTTTACACCCACCCGTTTCTTGGGACGGCCAGCAAAGGCGTCCCAATCTACTTTGTCTACCTCATCCTTGGGAGAAATTCCTCCTCTTTTCATCTCTTCTCCTGCTTCTAAGAATGTTATTCTGTCCTCGGCTGGTGGGCGCCCATCTTTTCAAGGTCCGGCCTACATCTAGCTTCTCCTGGGCACCGGACAAATGGCAGACCTGGGGTAGGACATCCCATCCCATCCCTTTGAGGAGCAAGGGTTTCAATCACGCCATTAAGGAAGGTCCTTCAACCCTACCATGCTCTCCAGACCTGGTTTCTCAACCTTGGTACCTTGAAGATGACTTCAAGACTTCACTTCCCAGAATTTCCCAGCCAACCTGTGTCCTCTTCCGGGTCTCATAACCAGCTGTGCCTGTTGACCTGGGAGCCCGCTTTGGAGGTCAGCTTGGGTCGAGCTCCATTCTGGCTCTACCTCGTTGAGGTCCTCCAGGGAAATTCTGGGAGCTGACGTCCCGCCCTTCTTGAAGATGGCCAAGGTTGAGGAAGACGGATCCAGGGGGCTGGGTGGAGATCCTTTGCACCGTTGATCCAAGGGGTTGGGTCTTGGGAGGAGCTCCAAACTGTGGGAGAGCAAAGCAGTGGAACATCTGGAGAAGAAGACCTCGAATGGAGTGAATTAGCTTTGCAAGGCCCATGACCTTTGCTCAGATTAGGTGGAGGTGGAGGGCCAATTCTGGCAGTTGAAATCCACAAATCGATCTTGGCAGTTGACCATGCCCTAGGTTGTCTACCTATTTCTCACCTCCTTCTCCAGGACATTGTCCCACCTGACCACCAGCCAGAACTTCTTCCTATGAGGATCTGATGCTTTTTTAAAAAAAGGAGGGAGCCTCGTCCTTATTTTTTTTGGGGGGGGGGGGACCATAGGGCAGGACATGACATCTTTCCAAGTTCTCCACCTTTCCAAGTTCTTCTCCTTTGCTAACCGCTCTTCAGCCTGACTTGATCTTCTCGCGGTGATCCCTATCCCAGAGAATCTCCCCCACATTTCCCCCCTGGAGGGGTGGATCTATTTAAACCCTCTGTAGAATCAGAGGGGAACCTTTTCAATGGGACCCTCCAGTTTTCTCCCGTGGCCAAAGGGATCGCTGACCGAAGTTAATTTAATTAAGTTATAATTTAACGGGCAGCAGCCGAAAGTCTCCTGACGCTCCGAGGCGAGTTCCCCGGGGCCAGGAGGCAGGGCCTGTGTATCCATTGGGTTAATAAGCATTATGTTAATATTATTAATGATGGTTTATTAATGGTTTGTTGTTGTTTTTTCTAAAAAAGCAATAAAATCCTGCCGGTTTTATTTATTTAAGGCTATTTATAAAGTTGCTCCTGGTGCCGCATGGTTCTTTATGGGGGTGAAAGCCAGGTTGAGGCAGGAGGGGGGGATGTTAGCAGAAAATGTCACTTGGTCTGGTGGCTGGGGAATTCTGGGAATGGAAGTCCACACACCTTAAAACAGGCTGGCTGGGGAATTCTGGAAGTCGAAGTCCACACACCTTGAAACAGGCTGGCTGGGGAATTCTGGGAGTTGAAATCCACACACCTTAAAGAGTGCTTGAAGTCCATCCACCTTAAAGCGTGCTGGCTGAGGAATTCTGGGAGTTGAAGTCCACACACCTTAAACCATGCTTGAAGTGCATCCACCTTAAAGCATGCTGGCTGGGGAATTCTGGGAGTTGAAGTCCATCCACCTTAAAGTTGTTGAGAAACACTGATCGGGGGGGGGAGCAGAGACCCACAGAAGAGGCAACTGCAGAATCTTCCTTCAATGGAGAGCCTCAACCTTTGAGGATCTCCTGTCCAGCCCAGTCTGGAATTTCAATTTTTGGGACGTTCCAGGAACCGAGCCGTGATAAGTCACAAAAACAGCTGTTGGGCAGGAAGGATGCTTGGAAAAAGAGGTTGATGGGATTGACAGCTGGTCTCTGCAGCGGGGGGGGGGAGAGGGGAGGAATCAGCAGTCTGCTTTATGGCTTCTTCAGATCCCCACCCGCCTCCTTCCTCAATCCAAGCGGGACGGCGGGCATCCGCCCTTTCCCCTTTTCCCACAATGCTGGAGGTTTTTAAGAAGAGACTGGACAGTCACTTGTCCGAAATGGGATGGACTAGATGACCTCCAAGATCCCTTCCAACTTTATTATTAACAGGCTGCCTCCAGAAGTGGTGAATGCTCCAACACTGGAAGTTTTGAAGAGACTGGACAGCCATTTGTCCGAAATGGGATGGGGTCTCCTGCTTGAGCAGGGGGCTGGACTAGAAGACCTCCAAGGTCCCTCCCAGGTCTATTCTGACTCCCGATTCTTTAAGGCTGCGGAGTGAGGCCTGGAAGCGATCCAATTCCCACGTTATCTAATTGCAGAAATCAAAGTTTCCCTCTTCCTTTCCCCTTGTCTTCCCGATAGTTACAGCAGGCGTTATTTATGCAAAATCGCCCAGTTCTAGCTTTTCCTGAATTTCTCTTGCTACACACAGGTGCTGAGAGAGACACACGGAGGCACAGATAAATATTTGTAGGGTGTATTTTTGCACCTCCACCCATCGCGGCCCAAGCCGAGAAAACACACCTGGAGTAAAACATTCCCAAATTACGTGGCGCTGGAGATTCCCTATCATCCAGGTCGTGGCTGTTCCAAAAGTGTTTCTCCCACCCGCCCCCAAAAGGCAACTGGACTTTCTGGGGTTTTTTTTTCCCCCTTGAAAAACGTTTCGTTCCTTCTCTAAGGAACGAACCGAAGCAGCTCCCTTGGATGAGAAGCGAAACATTTTCAAAGGAAAAAAAAAAACCCAAGAAAGTCTAGTTAGAACAATTAACCAGTGGAACAACCTGCCTCCAGAAGCGGTGAATGCTCCAACACTGGAAGTTTTTGAGAAGAGACTGGACAGCCATTTGTCTGAAATGGTATAGGGTTTCCTGCCTGAGCAGGGGGTTGGACTAGATGACCTCCAAGGTCCCTTCCAACTTCATTATTATTATTATTAACAACCTGCCTCCAGAAGCGGTGAATGCTCCAACACTGGAAGTTTTGAAGAAGAGACTGGACAGCCATTTGTCTGAAATGGTACGGGGTTTCCTGCCTGAGCAGGGGGTTGGACTAGATGACCTCCAAGATCCTTTCCAACTTTATTATTAACAACCTGCCTCCAGAAGCGGTGAATGCTCCAACACTGGAAGTTTTGAAGAAGAGACTGGACAGCCATTTGTCCGAAATGGGATGGGGTTTCCTGCCTGAGCAGGGGGTTGGACTAGATGACCTCTAAGGTCCCTTCCAACTTTATTATTATTATTATTATTATTATTATTATTATTATTATTATTATTATTATTATTATCATCATTATCATCATCATCATCATCATCATTATTATTATTATTATTATTATTATTATAGTTGCCTTTTGGAAAAACACTTCTGGCTTCCCAAACGAACCCACGCCAAAATGTAAGCCAGGCGCCCATTTTCGGGGTCTCCCCAATTCGTCCAAAGGTACGATTCGAACACAAAGGACGGGGCGGACGAGACGGGCCAGCGAGAGGCAAATACATTTCGTTTAGCGACCGTTTGGAAGTCACAACGGTGTTGGAAAATGTTTTTCACGCTTCTGATCCCCCCCGAGTCGCGTCATCAAAATTCGGACGCTCGGCAACGGATGGTTCCAGCATCCCGGGTGTCATGTGACAAGCAAAGATCAACGGGAAAGCCCAATTTCCTTAACTTACATCTCAAATTTGGGCCTCGGTCGTTAAATCGAGGACTTAGCTGCATACTGAATTTCTGTCTCCTTTCGGGAAGCATCCGAGCTCCCGGTTGTTGCATCGGAGACGCTGAATTCATTCATTTTCTGGGCTTTTGCAAAA